TTACCCACCCAAGCTTCACACCCATATAAGAGTGTTGGTACTACTATACTTTCATACAATACTTCTTTGCCTCCAATAGTTACGTGTTTTTTTGACTCCACATATACCTCAACGCACCACTCCCTTTCTTTCCCTCATCAATTCTATGATTAACACTCATCCTTCATTAATCCCATCCGCCGAACGTCAACTCCAAAGTATTCTGAAAACATTCACTTCTTCCCATACTCCTCCTCACCCAATTTGATATCCAATTTTTCGTTATTAAATAATTTGTCACCCTTCAATCAACCTTACTCTTTTCTATGTTACACTTTCAAACTTTCTACCTTTACACACATTCCCAAACTCATCCACTTACCTTTGCAATTTTTCTTTGAATCTCCCATAAGCGCAGTATCATCAGCAAAAAAATGTAACTGTTCAATTCCATTTTGAATTTGATTCCCCATAATTTAATCCCACCCCCTTCACAAACACCCTAGCATTTACTTCTTTACAAAACCCCATCTATAAAATATATTAAACAACCATGGTTACATTACCACATCCCTGTCTAAGACCTACTTTTACCGGGAATAGTCTCCCTCTCTTCTACACACCCTAACCTGAGCCTCACTATCCTCTTAAAAACTTCATTTACAGCATTTAATAACTTACACCTATTCCATATATTGCAAACATTCTGCCACATTGTCCTCTATCCACTCTATCATATGCCTTTCTAAATCCATAAATTCTTTTTTTTTTTACAATAAAAAAACTCCCTATCTTTATCTAATTACTGTTCACATAAATGCTTCAATGTAGACACTGAATATACACACCCTACCCACTCTCTAAAACTCCTTGCTCATCCGCAATCCTACATTATGTCTTACCTCTAATTCTTTCAATTTTACCCTACCTACACTTTTCCTGGTATAATTCAGTAGCTTATTCCTCTGGAATTTTTACCAGTCTCTTTTGTCCCACTTTCCCTTTATATAAAAGGGACTATACATGCTCTTGCCCATCCCTAGGTACCTTCCCTCTTCATACATTTATTAAACACAAAGTACTCCAAACCACTCCAACAATATATCCCCCCCTGCTTTTAACATTTTCTGTCATGATCCATCAGTTCCAGCCTGCTTTACCCCCTTTCATTTTACGTAATGCCTCCACGTACCTCCCCCACACTTACATTCTGCTCTTCGTACTCCTAAAAGAAGGTATACCTCCCTGACCAGTGCATGAAATTACTGCCTATGTTTCTTCCTTAACATTTAAAAGTTCCTCCAAAATATTTCGCAATCTACATTACCTCCATCTCCCCATCTACTAACTCCCCTACTCGTTTTAACTGACAAAATCATATTATTTCCCTTGGCTTTCTTATTTGTTTAAACTCAGCTTCCATAATTTTTTCTTATTTTCATTAAAATTTCTTGACAGTGCTCTCCCACTCTATCATCTGCTTCCTTTTTGCACTCTCTCACCCTCTCCTTTACTTTCTTTTACCTCTCCATATACTATGCTCTTCTTATATACCCACTTCTGCCTTTGTAAAAAACCTCTCATAAGCTACTATTTTTCTCTTTTATCACACCCTTTACTTCATCATTCACCAATCACTCCCTCTTTTCTCCTGCCCCCACCATCCTATAACACATACTTCTGCCCACATTTCTATACTGCATTTTTAAAACTATTCCAACCCTCTTCAACCACCCCCCACTACCATCTTTTGGCAACTAGCTCTTTCTGCCAATAGTGACTTATTTCTCACCGAACTTCCTCCTCACCTTAGTTTATTCACTTGCACCTCCCTCTTACTTGTTGTTGGACAACTTCCTCTTTTTCCATCTACTCTTACTCTAACTGTAGCTACAACTAAATAATGATCCGATATATCTGTTGCCCCTCTATAACATGTACTATCCTGGAGCCTTACCATAAACTTTTATACACCTATACATAATCTATTAAAATACTTTTACATTACGTACTACATCATAACTTGTATATTTATTTTTCCTCTTTTTCATAATTATTTATTACTTATTACCAAATTTCTTTCTACACATAGCTCAATTAAAGGCTCCCCATTTACATTTACCCCTGGCACCCCCAAATTTAACTTCTACTCCTCCATAAATCTTTTACCACTTTAGCATTAAAAATCCCAACACCATTACTCCTCAACTTGATTCAACAAACTCCCCGCATTCCACTCAACATTTCCCAAAATTCTCTCTCTCTCCTCTACACTTCTCTCTTTCTCCAGGTGCATACACGCTTATTATAACCCACTTTCACATCCAATCTTTATTTTGCTCCACATAATCCTTGATTAATACATTTTATAGTCCTCTATTTTCTGTTACCATAAGCTTATCTTCAACATTATCTGCTACTACCTTCTTTAGCTCTAAGTCTATTTGAAACCCCTGACCTAATCCCATTTATTCCTCTCACACTGAAACTCTCCCACCCCCATCAGCTTTGTTTCACTTAAAGCCAGACATCAAAGCTTTTTCTCATTCCATAAAATCACACAATCATCTCTTGCTTATCATCTGCCAACATTCACGCACATTCAGACTTCCCAACTTTGACAATTTTCTTTTCTTATTCTTTTTAGTAATCTTTACAGGAAAAGGCGAGTTTACTAGCATTGTTCCGGCATTTTAGTTGACTTTTACAACACGCATGGCATTACGGAGGAAAGATTCTTATTCACTTCCCATGGATTTAAAAGGAAAATTTAATAAGACCAAGAACTATTAAATAAAATCAAAGAAAACTCAGATGAGTGTGTATAAATAAATGTGTACATGTATGTGTAGTGTGACCTAAGTGTAAGTAGAAGTAGCAAGACATGCCTGTAATCTTGCTATGTAATTTTGAGACAGACCAAAAGACTATCAGCACTACTACCTTCATGTACAAACAATCACAGGTCTTCGTTTTTATTTTACACTCACTTGGTAGGACGGTAGTACCTCCCTGGGTGGTTGCTGTCTACCAACCTACTACCTATAAATTTAGTGTAAGGATTTAACCATATTGCAAATTTCACTTTAATTGGTTAGGTTTTTTTTTATGGAAGATTTAATGCTAGAGATTAATTTAGTTTGTAAAGTACAGATTTTCCTATGGAGCATCATCGCTCAGTTTAATGTTATCAGTTTTCACAAACTAGTTAAACAGAATTTTATAAAACATTGCTGCATTACACTTTCCAATCATTTTTCCTCTCAGTTACCAATTCAAGCAGCCATTTTTCAGAATCCGTCTTGTCAGAGAAATGGTATAAAATACAGACACAGTGGAAGTAGACACAAATGGATTGCAATGAGATTCTTTACTGACAATGTTTTACCCATGTGGTGGGTAAATGAATACCAGAAAAAAAAATATGAATTATGATGAAAGGTTGAAAGCATTAAAGATCCTCATGTTAGTAGCTAGGAGGAAGAAATATGATAATAACATATAAAATTATATGAAAGAATATGTAGAGGTTTAAATTAAGAAAAAATAGATATGAAGGGATGCTGGTAAAATTAAATTTCTCTATAGATAATTGTGGTAAAAGAATGGAATGAATTGACATATGAGGTAGTTGTACAACTATTAGAAATTTAAAAAAAAAGATGAATACAATAGTGTTGGATGGGACTTCATGAGCTTAACTATGCCTTCTTGTAAAACTACAAATACAACAAGTAATTAGTTAGATAAACTAAACTGAATTTTTATTCTGATTAGTGCTGTTATGAGAAATACACAGTGCTAGTCACAGCATTATGCTGGGTGAGCCCCTCGGCTAATGCCATGATGAAAAAATCAAGGCCTACCATACACGAGGGGTCTTTTTTCGTCGTGCATTATGCAGGTAGCAGCCATTAACATGACATCATTGCCTGCTAGCCACACTCCACAGTGTACTCTCATGCTAATGTAGGATAACGTGGTGAGGGGAGAAAGTGTTGCACTTTTGTCTTCATCTGCCCCATCTTTTGTCGGTGTTCCCTTTTGGTTTTGGGGCTATACATGTTTGATTATGGTAAAAGGAAGTTCTTTAACACCTGAACCTATAGTCTCAAATCATTGGGCTTCACAAAAGCTGGGGCACCAGATGAAAGAAATAGTAGGAATGTTTGGATGTGTTTGAGCATTCAGTGAGCGAAACTGTTGTGCTGCGTTTCAAGGCCTGCTGGCCATGTCAGGTTTCATCTGCAAACCTTCGGCCTTGCCGCTCGAAGTGGACATCTGTTCGCTGCCATAAAATCTGTGTTAAAGAAGCAGTTAAGAGAGTACACCTAAGAAAACTGCTAGCAGATTGAAGAAAAGAACCCACATTTTCTCTCAGAGGTGTCTGATAAGAACTGTTAACAGACGTGTGTCAGATACTGGGTACTTAGTCACTGCCAGGTTAGAAAATCGATCCTCTCCAAGCCACAGAAGAAACGTAGCTGGAATTTATGCAATGAAATATCTTTCACCTGGACTCCTCAACAGTGGTCTGAAGTACTTTGGGAGTTGATGAAGCGACCTTCACCGTCACCTGTAACCGTGGGGGAGTGTACCAGCCCAGAGGTAGTGACACACTAGAACCCATGCTTACACCTGTGGGGGTCCCACCAAACACCCAGTCTCGCTCATGGTTTGGGGTATTTCAGTGCTTTGAGTGAGTTGGTGAACTTTATTTTGTTCCCAAAAACCAGTATATGAACAGTATGAATTACCTGGAGTTATTGTGTGACAATTACCTGAGCGTTTGACAAGTGTGGTACTACGGTTTTATTGCAGTCGCTGCACCCATGTCACATGCCAATCTGTAGTTTCAGTGGTCTTATGGACTGTTAAGTGAGGTTCTTTAAGGACGGCCAGGTAATTCCCCAGAACCCAAAACCCTATGAGATCCCTGCAGTCATGTAGTGAAACAAAGTTTACTGGGCAAGGATATCAGTTCCATCTCACAGCTGGAGGCTGCTCTACATAAGGCATGGGATAATATACCTCTCCAAACCCTCAAGAATTTGTGTGTGAGTCTTCCTACACAGCTGAGGGGTGTGATTAAGCATAAAGGAAGCAGCACCAAGTATTAAAACCTTAGTAAGTGTGCAAATATATATTATTATGTTTCGTGGTACATGTTTGTGTTTTGGTACTTGTGCGGGGAAGGGGCAGCATAATGCCATGACTAGCACTGTACTTTCTCTATACATGTATATTTTAGGGAATAATAATAAAATATTATGTGTGATGAATTCTTATAATAATTATCTATTTTTTTATTTTATGTACAGTTACAAATAACAGTATGGTCTCTGGTTAACAAGTCAGTCTCGTATATAAAACATCCAAAAAACATTGCACAGGGATTACAGTTCAGTCCAGACCATGACTATTTGGCTGTGGCTGAGAGGCGAGAGTGTAAGGACTTTATCTCTCTCATAGAAACTAAATCGTGGCAGTTAGTTAAGGTAATTAATAGTATTTGGTGTAATTGTTTGTAATTTTTGCATACATACTACTGTAGTATATACTATACTGTATTTTTAATAAAATAAAAAAATTCATTATTTTCCAAACTAAAAGTTTGATATACATATTAAATTAAAGAATATGTATTGGTAATTAATTTATATTTACTGTAATAAAATGTACTGGATAGTGCATGTCCTAATTTCACTTTGTTTTCTCAGCACTTTGATGTAGGAACAAAAGATCTAGCAGGTTTTCAGTGGTCCAGTAATGGCTCAGTTCTTGCCATATGGGAAACTCCTCTAGAGTATAAAGTGCTTATTTATTCTCTTAGTGGGCAGTGTCTAGCAACCTATTCAGCATACCAGTGGTCACTTGGTATAAAAGGAGTGATTTGGTCCCCCTCTGGCCAGTTCCTAGCAATTGGTAGTTATGATCAGAAGGTAAGTGTCTTCAGTATCTCACAGAATTGTATTTAATATACTATATAGTTCAGGTCGGCCATCACTAATCTGGCAACCAGTTATCCAGTTCCATTAGTAATCCGGCACTAATTTCAGCTAGCATAATTTCAAATTTCATCATTATACTGACTCAAATTTCATCATTATACTGACTCAAAAATAGTGCAGATGGTTGTAAATCCAGAGCAACAAGCCAGTGGAGGAGAAAGCAGTTATGAAAATGAGGAAAATGTAGCAGAAAGATTCTATATTGATATGTTAATTAAGTGTATTCTAACCTAACCACTCTGTAATTCGGCAAACTCGCTAATCCGGCACACTGCAGGTCCCAATGATGCCAGATTAGTGATGGCCGACCTGTATATACTACATATTTTAGGGTGGATAGGTGAGCAGTGGCAGATGTTGCAAGTGTATGGAATAGGTAGCAAGTTACTAAAATGCTGTAAAGAGTTTTTATGAGGATAGTGAGACTCAGGTTAGGGTGTGTAGGAGATAGAGAGATTACTTTCCAGTAAAAGTAGGCCTTAGACAGGGATGTGTAATGTCACCATGGTTGTTTAACATATTTATAGATGGAGTTGTAAAAGAAGTAAATGCTAGGGTGTTGTGGAGATGGGGTGGGATTAAATTATAGGGAATCAAATACAAAATGGGAATTGACAGTTACTTTTATGGCCTCTTCCCCCAGAACAACAGATATTAGAGCCAGCAAATAAAACCCCCCTAAATTCCACCAATATGACATTTGTCTTTAGAAACATACAGGGTCTAAAGCCATCAGAAAACAAAAAAATTCCTTACATCAAGGGACTGCTCATGGAGTCAAATGCAATGTTTGCAGCATTCACAAAGACCCACATAAAGGATCATTATCACAACGAAATATGGATCCCAGGTTATAACCTATTCCGATGTGACAGACTAAACAGGCAACAAGGGTGGGGTTGGCCTGTACAGTGGACCCCCGCATAACGATTACCTCCAAATGTGACCAATTATGTAAGTGTATTTAAGTAAGTGCATTTGTACGTGTAAGTTTCGGGGTCTGAAATAGACTAATCTACTTCACAATATTCCTTATGGGAACAAATTCGGTCAGTACTGGCACCTGAACATACTTCTGGAGTGAAAAAATATCGTTAACCGGGGGTCCACTGTATGTCACAGAGTCGCTCATTTGCACAGAACTACTAAACACTTCAAATGATGTAGTTGAAGTTTTGGCAGTAAAGATCAGAAACCAAAACCTTGTCATTGTGGTAGTATACAAGCCTCCAGATGCAACTTCCCAACAATTCCAAGAGCAGCTTGAGAAAATTGACCACTGTCTGGAAAATCTCCCAACTCCTGCCCCAAACATCTTTCTACTAGGAGATTTCAACCTGAGACACCTAAAATAGAGGAGTATAACAAACAATATTTTAGCAGAGATCACCCTGGGAGGCTGCTCAGATGAAAATTCACACACACGAACTATTAAATCTCTGCAACAAATTCACCTTAAACCAGCAAATCGTAGAGCCTAGAAGACTAGAAAATATGCTGGACCTCATCTTCACTAACAGTGATGATCTGATACGTAATATAACTGTATCAAAGACAATTCACTCAGCTCACAACATAATAGAGGTACAGACATGTATGCACAGGGCTCCAGACCAGCAAAATGTAAGCAGTCATGAAGATCTCTTCACGAAATTCAATTTCAATTACAAAAACATACAATGGGATCAAGTAAACCATGTCCTATATGAAACAAGCTGGGAAGATATCCTAAACAACACGGACCCAAACATCTGCCTTGAAAAAATGAATTCTGTGGTTCTTGAGATCTGCTCAAGACACATTCCATTAAGAAAAAGAAAGAGAAGATGTAAACTAGAAAGAGAGAGATGTTCCCTATACAGACGAAGGTGAAGAGTCACAGAGCTGTTGAGTGGGGTCAATAAAGTGGAATCTCTACTTACGAGTTTAATCCGTTCCATGACCTTGCTCGCAACTGGATTTGCTCGTTTGCAGAGTCAGTTTTCCTCATTTACATTAATTGAAATGGAATTCATTCCAGTGGAATTCCAGGCACAAGAAAATACTTTAATAATTTACCCAATATCAACTCTACAGCTTATTTATCTATCACAATTCATGTAATATGACATAATAAACAATATTAGTAACATAGAAACATGATATATACACCAGAATGAATAAAATACATGGCATTAGGTATGTGGCTAGTGGTGGTGACAGCAGCCATTGTTGTTGGGGTTTATAGGGCCACCACAGAGGCCATTCCTGCTCCTGACTACATGTGTAGAGAACCTAGGATAACCCAAAAAAGTCAGACAGAGTGACTTATAAGTGTCACACTCCTAATGCTTCACTTAACTGCTACATGCTTAATGCTACACTTAATTGCTACACTCTTAATGCTACACTTTGCCACTGTTGCTTCATGTTGTCTGCCACTGCTACCTCATGATGTCTGCCACTGCTGCTTCATGTTGTCTGCCACTGCTACCACATGATGTCTGCCACTGCTGCTTCATGTTGTCTGCCACTGCTGCTTCATGTTGTCTGTCATTGTTGCTTCATGTTGTCTGTCACTGCTGCTTCATGTTGTCTGCCACTGCTACCTAATGATGTCTGCCACTGCTGCTTCATGTTGTCTGCCACTGCTACCTCATGATGTCTGCCACTGCTGCTTCTTGTTGTCTGCCACTGCTACCTTATGATGTCTGCCACTGTTGCTTCATGTTGTCTGCCACTGCTGCTTCATGTTGTGTGCCACTGCTACCTCATGATGTCTGCCACTGATGTCGCCAAAGAATCGAACATTTCTGCTATTTTGAGCTCAATTTCAAGGTATTTTTCATCATGAAACCAATTAAAATCATATTTATTTTTGTAGTATATCTTCCATTCTATCACATGAGACCAAATAAAACGAGAATACAACCATAAAAACCATACGAAAATATACCGCTATGGGGAGGCTAATGGCTGAGAAGTGAACTCCGTTATTTATGGTCCGATTTCTTTAATTTTTGGTGTACATTACGAAGCATCTTTTCATCATACATTGCTCAAGTTTCAATAAGATAGTCCAACAAACAACCAAGATCCAATTCCCTAGATCAAGAGCAAGAGCCCCCTCACCAGTGTCAATTAACCTCCCTTGAGGCCCGCTCGCATCTGGAAATTTTGCTCGCATTTGGAAGCAAAAAATCGACTGATCACCTGCTCATATCTAGAAAAACTTGCACATTGATGCACTCGTAAGTAGAATTTCCACTGTATATCTGAAATACGAAGGGAATCACTAGTCAATGAAATTGCAGATATCGAACTTAAGCTGAAGGAATCTTATAGGAGACAAGAATCACAGGAAAAACTAAAAGCCATAAAGGAAATTGAAAAAAAAAATACTTCTCTTATGTCAAATCTAAGGGAAAAACAACATCCAGTATTGGGCCCCTGCTTAGGCAGGATGGGACATACATAGATGATAGCCAAGAAATGAGTGAGATACTAAAGTTCCCATATGACTCAGTGTTCAGCAATCCACTGCTCACTCAAAGGGTCGACAATCCAAATGAATTCTTTATGAACGAAACCCAAAATTTGGTCATCCCAAAACTCTCGGATATTATTATAATTCTACAAGATTTTGAAGAGGCAATTAATGACATGCCCATGCACTCTGCCCCAGGCCCAGACTCGTAGAATTCCGTGTTCATCAAGAACCGTAAGAAGTCCCTATTGCATGCCTTCAGCATTTTATGGAGAGGGAGCATGGACACATGGGTCATCCCACACACACTAAAAACAACAGACATAGCCCCACTCCACAAAGGTGGCAGTAAAGCAATTGCAAAGAACTACAGACCGATAGCACTAACATCCCATGTTATAAAAATCTTTGAGAGGGCTCTAAGAAGCAAGATAGCCAACCACCAAGATACCCATCAGTTACACAACCCAGGGCAACACAGGTTTAGAGCATGTCGCTCCTGCTTGTCCCAGCTACTGGACCACTATGACAAGGTCCTGGATGCTGTAGAGGATAAACAAAATACAGATGTAGTATACACAGACTCTGCAAAAGCTTTCGACAAGTGTGACCATGGTGTAATAGCACACAGAATGCGGGATAATGGAATAATGGGAAAAGTTGGTAGATGGATCTACACCTTCCTGACAAATAGAACACAAAGAGTAATAATAAACAGAATAAAGTCCCAGGCAGCCATGGTAAAAAGCTCTGTTCCACAAGGCATAGTACTCGCTCTCATTCTATTCCTCATCCTCATTTCTGACATAGACAGAGATGTAAGCCATAGCTCTGTGTCTTCCTTTGCGGATAACACCCGGATCACCATGGCAGTGACCTCCATCGAAGACACTGTGAGACTTCAAGTGGACATCGACGAAATCTTCGAATGGGCCACTCAAAACAATATGAAGTTCAACGAGGAGAAAACTTGAAGAAATTAAAAATGTGTCAGGGTATACCACAAATTCTAACCATACAATAGAGCAGAAAAGTAATGTGAAGGACCTGGGAGTGATAATGTCAGAGAATCTCGCCTTCAAAGACCACAACAATGGATCTACCTCATCCGCTAGGAAAATGATAGGATGGATAATGAGAACCTTCAAAACTAGGGACGCCAAGCCCATGATGATTCTCTTCAAATCGCTTGTGCTCTCTAGGCTGGAATACTGCTGTACACTAACGGCCCCCTTCAAGGCTGGCGACACTGCAGACCTGGAGAGTGTACAAAGAACTTTCACGGTACATACAAGTGTGATAAGGCACCTAAACTACTGGGAACGGTTGAAGGTCCTTGATCTGTACTCCCTCAAACGCAGGCGAGAGAGATACATGATAATACACACTTGGAAGGTCTTGGAGGGATTGGTACCAAACTTGCACATGAAAATCACTCCATATGAAAGCAAAAGACACGGCAGGAGTTGCAATATTCCCCCTATGAAAAGCAGGGGTGCCACGAGTACACTGAGAGACAACACAATAAGTGTCCGGGGCCCAAGACTGTTCAATTGCCTCCCAGCATACATAAGGGGGATTACCAATAGACCCCTGGCTGTCTTCAAGAAGGCACTGGACAGGCACCTAAAGTCAGTACCTGACCAACCGGGCTGTGGTTCGTACGTCAGCTTGTGTGCGGCCAGCAGTAACAGCCTGGTTGATCAGACCTTGATCCACCATGAGGCCTGGTCTCAGACCGGGCTGTGGGGGCATTGACTCCAGGTAAACCTAATAAGAAGGTAAGTAGTGTGTTGAGGGATCTGTGGTAAGAAAGAAGTTTATCTATTGAGGTAAAATGAAAAAGGTACCAGAGTAGTATAGTTATTCCAACACTTTTATATTGGTATGAGGCATGGGTTTTAAATGTTGCAGCAAAGAGGAGGCTGAAGGCAGTGGAGATATTATATTTGAAAGCAGTGTGTGGTGGGACTATTACGTTATGTAAAAGCCTGCTGCTTGCCACAAGTGTGAACTCTCAAATCCATGCACTCAGTATCCCTGTAGAGCCTAATTGCAAATGTTATACAACTGTAGGTAGTATCCTACATACCAGTATGTTAGCAGTTGTACTAACAAAAATACTTTTCAGCCAGTGAGGTGCAGCTTTGATATTCAGACACTCATATGCAGCTGTAATGGGATGTAAGTATTTGAAACAGTTTACTAGCTAACTTCATTAAACATCACATAATAGTGTATTTACCAAAAAAGATCCTGCATAAAGTGAGATAAACCTATGCAATATTGTATATTAAACTGTAATCTATAAATATCAAGATCTACTATACGCAGCAAAACTGTACACACACTCCTCGTCCCTCCTTGCTGCATAATAATTGTCCATGTTGATCTGAGCTATGATGTAGCCACTGTGGAATTGCCATAGTCCACCAGCAAATTAATTTTTAACAGAAAATTAAATAAAAGTAAATACTGTTTATGCAGTATTACCCATACTGCCAAGCACAAATGGTGGTTGATAAATTTGGAATTTACAATTATAAAATAGCTTAGAATTGCAACATCATGAGGTTGCAAAAAAATATTGTAATTTTCCATGTTATTTCCTAAAATATTATGCCTCAGAATTTCCCTATATCTCTTTCCTCCCTCCTCACATTCCCTCTTCCCCTCACCCCTTTTGTTTAATTATTGTAGTGTTGTTTACAAATACAGTAGACCATTATATTATACAATTTTATTTGGCACATTTCGGTTATTGCACTATTGAAAAATTGCAGCACAGTTTTATACAACACTTCATAAAATTAACTTAACATGGTTCGGTTTGTGGGAAGAGAAAAAATTTGGAGTGTTGCCTGCAGGATACTTCCCCAACACAGCTAGGAGCTAGCTGTGTTTATTATTATGTTTGTGAATTGAGTTTAGATCTTTTAATTGCCATATCTTGTATCTGCCAAGCAATTGTTGCACCCGGTAGGCATACAAGTGTTGATGAAAGTGCCAAGAAAAGGTTTAAGTCTAGGAGTTACGAAGAAAATCAAGACATTAGACAAGCTTAAGAGTGTCTCACGTGTGGTGGATATAGTGAGGGCCTATGGCCTTAATGAAGCGTCAGTTCGTACAATTAAAAAGAACGAGGTGAATATACGAGCTTGTGTAATGAATAACCCAGGATGTCATCTCATGAAAAGAATGACACGTAGATCACAACAAGTAAATAAAACTAAAAACTTGCTGCTTGAGTGGATCAAACAATAAACAAAGAAAGATGTACCACTTAATTTCATCTTAATCAGGGAAAAGGCCTTACAGTTATTTAAAGCAGTGTGTGATAAGGAAGGAAGGCCTGAAAGAGAGTGCATGTTTAACACAGGCTGGTTCCACAACTTTAAGTTGCATAATAAGTTACATAACATTAAGTTTTCAGCTGATCATACAGCAGCAAGTAATTTCCCTGCTGAATTGCAGGAAATTATTTCTGAGGGTGGCTGTGAGCCACATCAAGTGTTCAATGCTGATGAGACAAGTGTTTTTTGGAAGAAAATACCAACAAGAACTTTATCAGTCAGCAGGAGAAAAGTGCACTGGGCTTCAAGACAGCAAAGGATCGCTTCACCTTGCTCCTTTGTGATAATGCGTCAGGTGATATCAAGGTTATTTACCGCTCTAAGAATCCTTGTCCTTTGAAAGGTGTAGATAAAAACACCTTACCAGTAATTTGGAGGTCAAACCAGTCAGCATGGATGACAGAGGAAATATTAATTGACTGGTTTAAGCATCACTATTCCTGAAGTCAAGTTTTACCTGCACAGCAAGAACCTTGCATTCAAGGCTCTCTTCATTCTTGATAATTCCATGCTCATCCACAAGCTTTGCTGGATGTTACCCTACACGTAAAAGTTGTATTTTTACCTCCAAATATAACATCTTTAATACAACCACTGGATTGGGGAGTTATTAAGTCATTCAAGTGTAACTACACAAAAAAAAGTTATGAAAAAACTAGTTGCATCAATGTATTCTGACTCCAACCTGGCAGTACTGTACCATGTTTCTGGAAAAAATTTAACATTGCAGATGCCATCAGCTATGCTAGAAGTGCATGGAGTGAACTGCCTCAATCAACATTAAATGCAGCCTGGGTAAAGTTAAGGTCTTCTGTAGTTAATTCTTTCACTGGTTTTTCCTTGCTTGAGAGTCAGGTTCTGGAAATTGTTCAGCTGGCAAGATTACAAGGTGATGGTTTTGAAGATATGAAGAAGATGTGAATGAGCTCTTAGAAGATGATGATGATGAAGACAGGAGTCCAGAAGAATTGTTGGCAGGGCTCAATGCAGATACAAGGGAGCCATATAACAGAAGATGAAGAAGAACCTGAAGAAAAACAGTTAACATTGCAGCAGTTACGTGAGCAGTTCCATGCTGCTGCTAAACTAGCAGACTTTTTTACTGAAGAGGACCCTGACAAATCTAGAAGCAGTGCTTTGAAATGGGGTCTAGACCAGCTGATGATGCCTTACCATCAGCTGTATAATGTATTGCAGGATAAAAGAGCCCAGAGATCCATTACAAAATTTATATACACTCCAATACAACCATCAACTTTAGTTCCAGAACCTCTACCATCCACTTCTGCTGACAGATAACAACCATCCATCTCAGTAGGGCCAAACCATGCATCTCCACTCTCTTCACAATCATCCACAAACACCAGTACCCATAATTTAAGGTAAGAAATACTATTATTTCTGTTGCATTTGTAGTCTTAAGCAATAAAAACATAATATATCACGACAATGAACTACAATTACATATTCACTTTTATTTTTGTAAGATCTCTTGGTCTAAAAAAAAGTTGTTTGGCTTTTGGGGGGCTCCCAGGAACAGAACCCTATTTTTCCCCACAAGTTCTTCGGTTTAACACAGTTTTACCTAACACGGTGTTTTCAGGAACGTAACTACCGTGGAATATAATGGTTTCCTAATTCATTGTTCAGTATATTGAATTAAATATCCTTATGATCTCATAATTCAAGGTACGCTTGATGAACCACTTGACATGGCGTATCATAGCAGATTTTCCACATGAATCAACTATTAACTCAGAAAACTGCATCATATATAAGGAGGTGGAAAAGCCTCTAACTGGCTATCCAGCTACCCTAGCATCAGTCCAAGGTCTTCCACTAGTTCTTGAAACAACTTGTAAGTATCCTCTCTCACAAGACCATATACATTTGATCAATAATTATGGTGTACTTTTAGACCAAAAATTAAATTTCACAAGTAAATCATAAACCTAGTTGACTTTTTGAGAAATTTAGGGCATATCATCATTATTTAAATCCTCCATCATTTTCATTGATTAGGTTGTACACAATATTATAATAATGCAGTTGGCAAATGACATAAATATTGGTATAGTAGGAGCTGCATGCAGTAAACCAAATCAGGTGACACCCAAAACTTGCTTGAGCTTCATACAGTATTCATCTTATTTATTTTTTAATATAAATTCTTGCTGGTATAATTAAGATTGGTTTGACAATGTAAAAAAAAGGTAAGAAACTTGTAAAAGAGTATTCCAGATAACATTAGCAATAATACTAGTGGTAATAAGGACTGTATATACTACATATATTTTGTGAAGAAAGTAAAAAAAATGTAAATTGTGTGAAAAATGATCAGCTATGTTAAAAATTTGCTGAGAGCAGTTTTTATTATTTAATTTCTTTATTAACTCCAAGTACAATTTAAGGAAATGTAGCAATTGTGTTCACATTATCCAAGGTTTTTTCATTAATGTATTTGGTAACTTGATTTTAATAAGTGATAGTGTGATAAATAGTATCCAAAACTTTATTAGTACAGTTGACCCCCGACTTAGGATATTAATCCGTTCCAGAGAGCACATCGTAAGACAAAATTATTGTAAGTCAAATTCGTTTGACACCCAAAAGTATGAAAAAAAAATTTTTACCACATGAAATATACATTTTCCTACACAGAAAGAAGGATACATACACAATATATATTGTGCATGTACACCTACCATCCGACTTACGACCTGCTCGACTTACGACCACTCGACTTATGACCGTGTTTTTTATGCCAAATTTCTGGGAAATAAACAACTATTTGAGTTGTACACAGTGTTTATCCTAAACCTTACAGTATAAAATACAGTGCTAACAACATAAAAAGTAAAGTAAAAAATGAAATACCAAAATAAAACAATAAAATAAAGTCATTACAAAAATGTTTTGTTGATATTCAGTAGTCAAGTTCGACTTACGACTATTTCGACTTACGACCGGTTTCTCGGAACCGAACTCGGTCGTAAGTCGGATGGTAGGTGTACTAGTGTACTAAATGAAGAATAAATGACACTTACCTTTATTGAAGATGTAGTGATGAGTAATGAGACACTGTTTGTGTCCTGGGAGTACCTTTTCATCCTGAGTAATGTAGGTCCTGTTTAGTATTTTCTTCCAGAACAGACCTTATCACACCATGTATGCCACTACAATTCTTAGATCTCTCAAACCAACCTTTGCTGGCCTTAAATTCACCAATGTGAGCACTAGTTCCAGGCATTTTTTCCTGTTCACCTGGGTGTTAGTCGACTGGTGTGGGTCACATCCTGGGGGACAAGATTAAGGACCCCAGTGGAAATAAGTTAGACAGTCCTCGATGACAAACTGATTTTCTTGGGTTATCCTGGGTGGCTAACCTTCTGGGGTTAATTGTTTCTCGGTATTCTCGATAAGTCTATGGTGGCTTATTTAGCAGTTTTTTTTTTAACAAGTCGGCCGTCTCCCACCGAGGCAGGGTGACCCAAAAAGAAAGAAAATAAATAACAAAAAAGGCACAATACCGTGACTGGAACGATACACAAATAACCCGCACATAAAAGAGAGAAGCTTACGACGACGTTTCGGTCCGACTTGGACCATTGACAAAGTCACACTAACCAGAGGTGGAGCAGGATGGCTATATATAGGCAGGAAGAGGTGATGGTAGTAGTAGTAGTAGTAGTAGTACAAGAGTTGTATATAATACCGACAAGATGAAATTAAGACACATGCACAACACCCGGGCATCCCTATCAGAGACGTTTCGCCATCCAGCCAGCCACTGGATGGCGAAACGTCCACAACAAAGACAACCAGATGCCGCACATGTGTCTTAATTTCATCAGTAGTTGTAGTAGTAGTAGAAGAAGAAGAGGTAGTAGTAGTGATAGTGGTAGAAGTGGGAAATAAAAAGGACGAGCCAGTCAAATACAAAGGAAGGGGAGCACTGCAAGAGAGCTAGATGCCCACAGAGGGAGAGCAAGCGCACAGAGGTGCGTGAAGGGAAGTGGTGAAATAAATGAAGAAGAACAGAAACACGAGACATGAGAGAGAAAGACAACCCAGAGGAGCAAAGGAAAGAGGAAGGGGAAGAGGAAGAAGAAGAAAAAGAAAAAGAAAAAATGAGGATTTAGGTTAAGTCACGGGTGTTCTGAAGTTTGGAGCATTTTACAATGTAGTGGGAGAGGAAGGCATCTACAGAGACGAAGCCAGGGCTAAGGTTCATACAAGGAAAGTTGTGTATTAGAGAGGATTCAACTAGACGGCGACTGTTCGAGTTGGAAGTAGGGAAGACAGTTTTAGCAGAAGACCAGTCAATAGGATGGCTATGATTCTGACGTGACAGAAAAAGAGCATTGTTATTGTCGGCAAGCCTAACACTATTTTTGTGCTCCCTAAGTCTGTCAGAAAGAGATCGACCAGTTTCTCCGAAGTATTGAAGAGGACAGGAGGAGCAAGAAATAGAGTAGACACCAGGAACATCTGTAGAGGGAGGAGAGGTATGAATGAGATTAGTGCGAAGAGTGTTAGTCTGGTGGAAGGTAAGCTTGATGTCTAAGGGACGGAGAGAATTGTTGAGATTAGAAAGACCGGAAATATAGGGAAGGCAGAGGATAGAAGAGTTCTCATGAGTAGAGAGTTTGGGAGAGAAGAAATTGTGTTTAGCACGTGAGAGGGCAGAGTCTATGAAATGGGAAGGGTAGCCAAGACGGGAGAACGAATTATGAAGAGTGGAAATTTCTGCTGGAAGGAACTGAGGATCACAGATGTGGAGGGCATGGAGAAAGAGGGAGATAAGAACACTTTTCTTGACAGGGGAAGCATGATAGGAAAAGTAGTGAATGTACATGCCACTGTGCATAGGTTTACGATAAACGGAAAAGGAAAAACCTGTATCTGAGCGGTGGACATGGACATCAAGGAAAGGAAGCAAGGAATTAGATTCCCATTCAGTTTTAAACTTAATGGAAGGGGCAAGATTATTAAGAGCTTCAAGAAAAGGTTGGAAGAGACTGGAGTCATGAGGCCACAGAGCAAAGATGTCATCCACATAGCGGAGCCAGAGAGAAGGTTGCACATCGAGGGTAGGAAGTAGAACAGTCTCGAAGTATTCCATGTAAAGATTAGCAAGGACAGGAGAGAGAGGAGAGCCCATAGCGACACCGAAGGTTTGAGAATAATATTTCCCTTGGAAGGAAAAGGAGTTAGAGTCCACACAGAGGTGGATCAGATCAAGAAAGACATCAGTGGGGATAGGGAGATGAAGAAACCCTTCATGGGCCTTCTCTCTAAGGAAATCAAGGACGTGGAGTCCCTCTTCACCAATGTCCATCTTGATGATGTCCTTGATTTCCTTAGAGAGAAGGCCCATGAAGGGTTTCTTCATCTCCCTATCCCCACTGATGTCTTTCTTGATCTGATCCACCTCTGTGTGGACTCTAACTCCTTTTCCTTCCAAGGGAAATATTATTCTCAAACCTTCGGTGTCGCTATGGGCTCTCCTCTCTCATGTACATTCGCTACTTTTCCTATCATGCTTTCCCTTAGACATCAAGCTTACCTTCCGCCAGACTAACACTCTTCGCACTAATCTCGTTCATACCTCTCCTCCCTCTACAGATGTTCCTGGTGTCTACTCTATTTCTTGCTCCTCCTGTCCTCTTCAATACTTCGGAGAAACTGGTCGATCTCTTTCTGACAGACTTAGGGAGCACAAAAATAGTGTTAGGCTTGCCGACACTAACAATAATCTTTTCTGTCACATCAGAGATCATAGCCATCCTATTGACTGGTCTTCTGCTAAAACTGTCTTCCCTACTTCCAACTCGAACAGTCGCCGTCTAGTTGAATCCTCTCTAATACACAACTTTCCTTGTATGAACCTTAGCCCTGGCTTCGTCTCTGTAGATGCCTTCCTCTCTCATACATTGTAAAATGCTCCAAACTTCAGAACACCCGTGACTTAACCTAAATCCTCATTTTTTCTTTTTCTTTTTCTTCTTCTTCCTCTTCCCCTTTCCTCTTTCCTTTGCTCCTCTGGGTTGTCTTTCTCTCTCATGTCTCGTGTTTCTGTTCCTTCTTCATTTATTTCACCACTTCCCTTTCACACACCTCTGTGCGCTTGCTCTCCCTCTGTGGGCATCTTGCTCTCTTGCAGTGCTCCCCTTCCTTTGTGTTTGACTGGCTCGTCCTTTTTATTTCCCACTTCTACCACTACCACTACTACTACCTCTTCTTCTTCTACTACTACTACAACTACTGATGAAATTAAGACACATGTGCGGCGTCTGGTTGTCTTTGTTGTGGACGTTTCGCCATCCAGTGGCTGGCTGGATGGCGAAACGTCTATGATGGGGATGCCCGGGTGTTGTGCATGTGTCTTAATTTCATCTTGTTGGTATTATATACAACTCTTGTACTACTACTACTACTACTACTACTACCATCACCTCTTCCTGCCTATATATAGCCGTCCTGCTCCACCTCTGGTTAGTGTGACTTTGTCAATGGTCCAAGTCGGACCGAAACGTCGTCGTAAGCTTCTCTCTTTTATGTGCGGGTTATTTGTGTAGAAAGAAAATACTTTCATCATCATTCAACTCTTTCACCTCACTCACACATAATCACTGTTTTTGCAGAGGTGCTCAAAACACAACAGCTTAGAAGCATATACGCATAAAGATACACAACATATCCCTCCAAACTGCCAATATCCTGAACCCCTCCTTTAGAGTGCAGGCATTGTACTTCCCATTTCCAGGACTTAAGTCCGGCTATACAGAGGTACAAAATAAAGTCTGGCTATGTAAAAATAACCGGTTTCCCTGAATTTTTTTTTTTTTTTCAACA